AATTTCTAAAAAGAAAATCTTTTATATATTTTACTGCATCAATGAATGAGATATCTGGTAAAATAATAGATAACAGTGTTCGATTACCTGATTGATTTACCTCCAATATACAGACAAGAACAAGGTAGATTTTAGAACCCAGATTTGCATTATCAGGTATGAAAAAGATGGATCGAATGTTATAATAGTGATACAGAAAGAATGGAATTGTGTATACCTTTATATTGTTTGGTAATCAAGATAAATAAAATTTGAAATATATGTTAGTAAAAAGTTATAGTTTTGTTTTGTTAGAATATTTGTTAATTTTCGGTTTAAAGTGTATCACTGCTTCACCATTCCACTTGAAAGTAATGTTCCTCTGAAAACCTGACTTGCGCGTGTTTTAGAATTTGTTCTCTTTTTTTATTGTAATCCAGATGATTGATGTTAGTGTATCCTTCTGTCTGCTAGTGATTGCAATTATATATATATATATATATATATATATATATATATATATATATATATATATATATATATATACACACACACACACACACACAAACACCACAATTATAATTTTTGCTGTCTTGTTGTCTTGTCAGATTTGCGTCACTTTTTAAGTTTTAATAACACTGCTCTTCAATATGTTTACGTTTTGGATAAGGTAATGTTTTGATTGGCTTTTAAAGCGATTGGCTATTATCAGTATTAATCATCACGGAAAATACCTCTACGTCCCCACTGGTCGATATCGCCAAAATCTCCGTAGGGTGACATTGAATAACTACAGTCTATTGTCGATGGAGTATCCTGCAAGATAATTAAAATAAAAATAATACATAGGCAATAAAGCATATATCATCGAATGTGCAAAGGTTGACTCTTATCATACAGACCGGACTTCAAAGCTAGTCGGCGTCTGGATAATATCCAAATTTGGATAGTAAATCCCCAAGCAGCGGTGACGGTACAGAGTGTGTGCCATGAAAACAAAAGTAGTTCAAATATTGTTCTTAATGGCTGTAGGAATCAAGGTACTAATTCAGTTTACATAGTAAATCCATGCAAACACCATGATATTAAAAATTCAAACTTATAATTTCTTGAGTGACTATGATCAAACCTATATTAATCAGCATAAATGAAACCTGGATGTCCGCTTCTGTGTAGAGAAAAGGATATTTTTCGCGGCATTTTCTGGACCTGCATCATGTGTTTGAAATATATGCTTTCAATTCCGCACCAAAGCGTCAGCTGCTAATTTTAGTAATGATTCTTTTTTCTAAAACATAACTTAGATTATTAACCGATCCTGGCCACCAAAACCCATATATACTGTACTTTATGTTCACTCATTTCCAGGCTGGTTCCCATGTTTCCATACCATTAGTTTCTTTCATCAACAAAACAAGCAAGGCAAGTCTCTCTGCTTAACTTGTTTTGAAACATATTTAAATAGCTTATTACGGCCACAAAAGTTGATAAATACGTACAAGTTCCATAATTTATAGAGGAAAATCCTTAAACAAATATAATATCTCTAATAATCTTTTGAACTTCACGTTTAAGGAGTTAAAACTCTTAGTTCTACTCTGTGACAATGTGCAGAAACTTCAGAAGCATTTATAGCAATTTCCACTAGCCAGAGACAAAATTAAATTGTATATTTACTGTGTAGTATTATATACAATCTCTCCCAGAAAAGTGTTATATGTATCTCTTGAAAGCATTTAGCCCGGGACCCATAGCATATAGGACTTTTGCTGTTAGGATAGTCCGGTACTGCATCGATTTTAGTCTTTCTGCGAAGCACACTGTCTAATTATATAATTATATGTAGATTCAATCGTTGTCAGTATAAACAAGAAGTGAACAGAATAGTGTTGTAATACTGTGGGAGAAAAGAACCTGAAATGTGTTTTGTCAGTTTTTAAATTTAATACAGATAAATGCCGTTTGTCAACCGATACTGAACTGAGTAAACTGTGTCTGGTACCCAAAAGGAAAAGAAATATTCCAATGGCGTATAAAGAATAATTATAATAAATGAAGCAAAACGCTTTAAAATATATTCAAACTGGGGACCAGGTTGTAAATGTCATGCAGAAACATATACCTATTGATTAAGGGGGCTCACCAGTTATTACGTACTTTAGAGTTAGGCTAAGCTCTATACTCTATGGCTATATCATACCCATCATACATAAACCAAAATAAAGGGACTTTAAGGTTCATTGAACAATAACAAATATGTACAATATCTTTTTTTTAAATAGTCAGTATAACAAGTGAGGAAACACGTGATAATTCTTTTTCTTTAAAATTCTTACCCTATGCAAAATACTAAACTGTAGAGAGCCACCTATATGGTATCTAGTATAAAAACATATTTTTTTAAAAATTTTTTTTACCTGACCATGGAAAAAACCGATTCCTTACGCAGTTTAGCAGCAGTATTATCATCTACTGGGAAAACGCTCCTTATTTGCAGCATTAATAGCGCGTTAGTAAGCTAAAGTTTGCGCCAGAAAAAGATTAGACATATATGCTCCATATGTTTGCCTACCTGATCGTAGAAACGGTTTGTGTATTCATTCTTATTTCAGCCAATAATCGCACATCGAAGCAGATTGTATACCTAAGTACAGTTTAAAGCCTGTATACTTACAATCTGACGTTTCAGCTATTTTTATCTTTGGCATGTGTCACTCGTCCAGAGTTTTGATCAGACGTAGGCTTTGAACATTTTGGCCCCTACACGTACTTTACAAATGGCAGAGACTGTTAGAATGCATCAATATATAATTTTAAACTCTTGAAAGTTCAAACTGTTTGTATTGGTGTGAAGATGTGTGTATGTCTGTGTGTGTTTAAGGAGATGCTAAAATTTACAACAGTGATCTTAAAAACGTGTAATACTGCAACGTATGAAATAAGTATCGACCTCAGATGAAGGCAAGTGTATATTCAAGTGAATTAAATGCAACCCGACATTTAAATTCTAGCAGCACTTGTAACAATATATTATACAGTCGCTTGATATTATGGTATGTTGTGCATGTGAAAAACAGACAGCGTGTTTTCCTTTGCCAAACTTTTATTTTTTGTGCGTTTTGAGGAACTTTGCTCATGTGCATTTTGATGAAACTTATTAATGTGCGTTTTTGACTAACGTTGGACGAGATTCTTGCCAGGATATAAATGTTTGAGAAGTTTCGGATTTCATCGTGTTTTTTTTTTCAAAAGCAACAACAGAATTAACTAGCTTTTGTCAGGTATATTATGTCGGATAATTGTCTACAGCCTAAAGCATTTGACTGTTAGTTTTCATCTGAACCTATGTTCAGTTCAAATACATGTCGGTACTCGTCAGTCCTGCAACAAAGTTTGCATATGGCATGATGGCATGCCAGTATGACCAAGGGACACTTTTAATGTGACGTTTGGAATCATAAGAATATACACAATGGTCACATTTGTGCACATAAATCTGGAACTATTTTAAAGCGTTTACAAACATATTTATAGTAATGTATAACCGCCCTAAATCTCACTAGACGTAACATAGTTCAAATCGGGCACTGCACAATAGGTCATGTATCAGTCATACTTGACTGACGGTTTTGTGGTCATGTAAGAATTTGAAACACACCTGAGACGGTTCCATTAGTGAAATCTCGATCAGATAAGCGCCAAAATGATTCACAAACTATGTGGTAAAAACTCACACATATGCTACGATTCAATTGAATTGATATTATCAGACAATAGAAGATTAAACAAAAAATCTTACGTGAAAACAGAGACCAAGAAATGTATTTGGCAAACATACAAATGAAGACTATTTGATGAAACTTGTTGATAATTAAGAAATTATATTCCTAATATCGTAAATGTCAAGAGCAACACGTAAGTCTAACGCTGTATTTAAGCGTAGTATATGAGTCTGGCGAAGTCTTCAAGCGTAGTATGCGAGTCTAACGATGTCTTCAAGCGTAGTATGCGAGTCTAACGAAGTCTTCAAGTGCAGTAGTAGGTCTAAAGATGAGTTCAAGAGCAGCATGTTTCTGAGTTTTCGATGTTTTCAAGAGCAGTGTATTATGTTTGTGAGTCTAAAAATAGACTTGAGAATGAAATAACTATATAGCTTCAACCTTTACATGTCTGGATAATTATAGCGATAAATGAATTTTGCCTACACACAAATGTTATTTCAACAATGAAAAAAAAAAGAGTGAAAAATACCGGATGGCATGCAAGATATTTGTAAATGATTGTCTGATAATCGTCAAATTAGAAACTACAGCTAAAAGACCAATTCCGTGGGCATTCTAGATTAAATAATGATTGAACAGAAACTGTAGCTATTTATAAACTATTGTCAAATTATATTGTAGCTAGGTATAAACTACTGTCAAATTACATTGTAGCTAGGTGTAAACTACCGTCCAAAGACACTGTAGCTACGCATAAACTACCGTCAACGACACTGTAGCTAGGTATAAACTACAGTCAACAGACACTGTAGCTAGGCATAAACTACCGTCAACAGACACTGTAGCTAGGCATAAACTACCATCAACAGACACTGTAGCGAGGTATAAACTACCGTCAACAGACACTGTAGCTAGGTGTAAGCTACTGTCAAATTACATTGTAGCTAGATGTAAACTACCATCAAATTACATTGTAGGTAGGTGTAAACCGTCAACAGACACTCTAGCTAGGTGTAAACTACTGTCAAATTACATTATAGCTAGGTGTATACTACCGTTAAAAGACGTTGTATTCTAAGTGCTTTTATATTTTCATTTTATGCTTTTAATTTTCCTGAAGAATGAGCAACAGTTTGATTATGTCAACATTGGGACAGATTTTATTAGGAACACATGTACATAATCTCCAAAAGAAGGCGCATTAGTGTGATCTAAGTACATCTGCATAGATCCTGATTTCTTGATGCATACAACTCGACGGATCTGGGTCTATGTACTTTGTTAGAACGAATCATAACCGCTCCGGTGGCCCAGTGGTTAGAGCTTCCGCCTTGGATGCAGAAGGTCACAGATTCGAACCCCGGCTGAGTCATGCCAAACACTATTACAAATGGTACTAGCATAGCACTTGCCTCGGTAGATGCTCAACATTAAGAGGTTAGTGTTAGAACTGGCCGGCCTGGTGTCAGGATAATGGGGTGGAGATCATGCTACGTGTCTGTGACATGATGCTCCATGTTAGACATTATTATTAAACTGTCACATTGCAGACATAGTAAGGATTTGACTGAATTGTTTTTAAAGCTACTTTAAAAAACCTAATCTCTCTCTCTCTCTCTCTCTCTCTCACACACACACACACACACACACACACACACGTTTTTATCTTTGCTAATGTTTTTTTTAATTTAAGGATTTATCTCTGTTCAGTTATTCTGTCACAACAGAGAAGGCTTACATTGAACAATAGCTTATAATGCACAAAAATTAACCTCAGCTTTCATGCATACATGTATTCTAGATTAGTGACAACAGTCAGCTTGGTGCGTGGCTTCTATTATTGAAGTTTTGCATAAGTGTTATGGGGCACAAACGTTGCAAATAAAAACATCTAACACAAAAGTGGATTCCTAAATTATTTTAGTGTTCACCCGAGCTAGGACTCAAAATATGGCTACACCTTACACACAGCAGATTTGAATTATGTATGTTAATCTCATTCATTCATTCATTTCTTTCTTTATTTCTCTCTCTCTCTCTCTCTCTCTCTCTCTCTCTCTCTCTCTCTCTCTCTCTCTCTCTCTCTCTCTCTCTCTCTCTCTCTCTCTCTCTCTCTCTCTCTCTCTCTCTCTCTCTGGTTTCCTTGCCTACTTTTAGTTTTGTTCTTTGGGTTTTATTTTTTTTTTTAAGTCTGCTCTACGTCTATTTGCTCTATCCTCGTCAGCTCCACTCTAGTCTTTTTGAAGGCCTGTACAAACTATAAAGTTTTCTCTTCTTTTGTCTTTTGTAATGCTGTACTTAACGATCTTTTCTACTTCATCATAACTATTGCTATCTTAGGTCGCCATTTTCTAATCAATCTTTTAACGCAACGTGATGAATACATCCTGAACTAATGATTCCTTATGTTTAGCGTGATATGCGTACAGATTCTGCTGTTTATATTGATTTTATTAATCATTTTCGCTACAAAAATTTGTCATTTTATTTTTAAGTTCTATTTTACTTTAAACAATAGCAAACGCTTTCAATACCACTTATAGTGTTATCTTCTCCCCAAAGAGTAAGGAATAAAGAAACAAACATTTGCTTTGTTACAGAACATCTTCATCCAGATACATACGTAAAGAAAAACACTTGATTCTGGTAAGGAATCTCACTAACCCGTTAGTCTCATGTGCAAACTCCAGTCGGGGTCGATAACTATATAGATTTCCAGGGCATCTTACGCAGAATTATTTTTCCGAATTGCGACTATATTAAAACACAGACATAGATACACACAGACACATACACACGCAGACACAGATACAGACATACACATGCACACATAGCCATACAGACACACACACACAAACACAGACACATATATGTGTGAAGAGTTAGTCATCAAATTTTCATCAGCCCAATGTTAAAGCTCCGAAAACATAAGTAACGATTATAATCGTGAGCTTTCCATTAATCATCTTTAATCGTCACTAGACCCTTCGTTTGAATCTCTAGTTAAGTATCACAAAGCATTGGTCTAATAGAAGCAAATACTTTTAATTTACTACATTGGAAACATATGCTTGTACTTGCATGTCCACGACTTAAATATCCGCCGTTACCCTTTTTAGGTACAAACAGTTTCAAATGTACCTACTCTTCGTAAGCATAGAATACAAAATATGCTGGTTCTACAATTCCATTCAGAGACCCGCCATTTTGTTATCAAGAGCCGCAAGTTTACTTGCCAACTAAGATATTTTATCCCTCCTGCGAAGTCTAAATAGTGTTCCAGGCATACCAGCTCGATCATATTGGAAATGGAGGCTGTTTACATAACAGCAGGTGGATAGAAAGTACCCGAATGTGCAGTCAAGTTATCTATAACGTAAATATACTTCTCTTATAATGCAACACTATCTATGAAAATATCGAAACTCCAAGGGAAAGGAATGTTAAAACTTTTTAAGTATCATTTGGCTCGTATTCGTTTACAGCGTACGTTCATTTTCAAAGAAAGTAATCCGTAGAGCAATACAATCGGTAACTGTTGAGAAGAAATAAACCCCCAAAAGTTGATAAAAAGAGGATTTGTTTGAGATTCCATGAATAAATATCTATATAAAATTATTAAAACATTATGGCAATTTCATGGATGCCTTCGGTTACTTCAAACGCATAGCCTGTACGTCCTATTAGAAGCGTTTAAGAATTTTTACAATATCTCCTGCTTTGGATAATAGAAGCTTTGGAAAGTTTTTAAATAAAACAGTTATCTGTAAATGAAGATCCGCTTGTTCGCGTGATTCACTCACCGAATTTTTTTTTATCTACTGTATGTGCTGCAGCGGTGGGTAGGTGTTATAAAGGGAGACAATTGTAAATTACTTAACTAATTTTCCTGACCAGATGAAAGTTTCTGATTGATTGCAACGGCACGAAAGCTGAGGTTTGCCGGGATAACCACGCTAATAAGTGCAGAGTATTTTGTGTTAGTAAAAATTCATTAGGACAATACTAATGGCGTTGTTGAAGGGCTAACCAGACGATTTTTAAGCTATTTCTTTCTAGCCAACACTAATTGTAGCATGGGGAATCAATCTCCTTGTTGTAACATCTCTCTCTCTCTCTCTCTCTCTCTCTCTCTCTCTCTCTCTCTCTCTCTCTCTCTCTCTCTCTCTCTCTCTCTCTTCTAATTATAGTAGTGAGCGTCATCTGACATTACACCAAATGATCACTAAATATCTGCATCATGTGGAACCAGTCTATTTGTTGGGAATATTGACCTCCAAAAGAACATTAAATATTTTCAACATCTGGAACCATTCTCCTTGTGGGGAACATTGACCTAGACAGAAGCAAATGGGTACCTAGTGATTTGCTGAAAAAGGAGAGGCTAATATTTTAAAAAATGCGATATCGTATTGAGATTAAAATCGTATAAAATAAATGTAAAATATAAAGACAGATTTGAATAATCAAACGCCAGTTGTATCCTGTTTTTTTATGAAAGCTATTGGTGCAGATACACAGTGAATCATGTGATAAGCAAATCAGTTAATTCATTGTGGCAGGAGTACTCTTTGACAGCACATAGTTTACTGTTTTTTTTCCCCCCAGGATATGTTAGGATTATATGTTGTAATTTCGAATTTCGGTTTCAATAAGCTCTTAGACTGTTTCTCACTTGCTGCACCGTAGTTTTCATATTAATCTCTCTCTCTTTCTCTCTCTCTCTCTCTCTCTCTCTCTCTCTCTCTCTCTCTCTCTCTCTCTCTCTCTCTCTCACACACACACACACACACACACACATGAGAATGAACAGAGAGAGAGAGAGAGAGAGAGAGAGAGAGAGAGAGAGAGAGAGAGAGAGAGAGAGAGAGAGAGAGAGAGAGAGAGAGAGAGAGAGAGAGAGAGAGAGAGAGAGAGAGAGAGAGAGAGAGTTTGTGTTGTGGGTCGGTTGTACTGCTGCTAAGGCAGAATAATGGCTTATTAAAATATTTTAATTACCTCTTGTTGGTTCGTCAGTTGGCTTAGTTTCTATTCCATATTAATCTCCATGCATCTGAATGCGTTCATTTAAATAGTGTAAATATCCAAGTGTTTCTCTGCTCTGCTTTTATTCTTAAAACCATCTTTCATGTTTAAATCATAAGTGTGTATTATATTGATTTAAACAATGCGGAAAAAAATAGAAACCAAGAAAAGAAAACAACCAACTTATCAATATGCATAGGTATTTGTAAATTGTTACTACGGCATAGAACTGCATTTTGTAGCGGACACAATCGGGGATGTAAGTTCATTCACTCGATCAATACACGGCTGTCTGTCGTAAATCTCATCTTAGTTCAAAGGTCAAATATATGTATTTGTGTGTGATATAAATAAAATATATGTACAGTATGTACGCTGTATCAATAATATACAACTCGTTGTATAAAGTTGTTATTAGGTGTCTTATATATATATATATATATATATATATATATATATATATATATATATATATATATATATATATATATATATATATATATATATATATATATATATATATATATATATATATGTGTGTGTGTGTGTGTGTGTGTGTGTGTGTGTGTGAGGTCGAAAGTTGCTTGAGATATAATTACAATTTGTATGAATGGACTGCATTTTCTGCTGTGAGATCAGCTTTATATGGTCATGTGATCCTGATAAAAAAAATCAGGGCCCAATTATAGAAAGCATTGGTGGAACGTGGTCCGCCCTCGTTCCCTTGTAATTGCTACAGTTTTATTTCTTTATTTACTCTGTAGAATCAACTTCTGGAATCAGTACACAATTAATAAAATCCGGTTTAGTACCCACGAATGTAGTCCCAGTCTATTTTTAGATCACTTTTTCCGGTGTAAATTTGGTGGTGATACTAGAGTTAGATTTTGGCATTCTTGGTAAGGATTTAAAGGCAATTGATTATTCTTTAAAATGTGATCTTATGTTGTGGTTGTCTGTGTGTATTTCGGCGACAGTGCACATTGAGTAATAAGGTCATGGTGATGATCCGGAAGTGAAATCTGTGTTCCGTTGCCTGGTGCTTTGTTTATAATTCAGCCTCTCAAAAAAATGCAGGTCAACCCTTGACAAGAACTAAACTGTTAAGTCATCTTTGAAGGTATTTTAGATTAACATATGATTTGTATTGATTGTCACACAGTGGAAAGTTCAGTACTGAGGAACAAATGTAGAGACCGTATAGTAAAATTAATTGTGTACTATGGCCTGTCAGTAAAAACTTGAAACTGATATAAATTTTTTATTATTAATGACATATACATGAAATTTTAATATGTTATGTATATTGACTTTAAAAATATAAAAATGAAATTAGAAGTAAAAAAT